AAAAAAAAAAAAAAAAAAAAAGAGAGATATTCATAATACTCTCTCACAAAAACAAACGCTAGAACCAAATGGTTTAACTGACAGAGTCCATCATATCTTAACTATCACATAAGCCAATCCTACTTCAATTCAACAGCACTGAATGGTTACCAGAATTTTCTACACTTATTTTTGCTAAAAATAATGAGGATGTCTCATTGGTTATGAAATTAATAAAGAAATATAAAATTTAACGGTCAAAATAAGTTATCTGGATTTTGCAAAAGACAAATTTACAATTTATGTACAACATTTGCTCCTTTTGTGCATGTTTTTAGGCCAACTGAAAAATAAGAGGTAACACAGTTTATGTAGGACCACCACTTTTTTTCTGAGACCATCTGCCAGTTTGAAAGTTGCCCAAACCACCCTCAGTTTCAGTAATTCTCTATAAAAAAACACAGAACTCACCTGGAGCTATTGTGTTCACTGTTAATGATAAAATACTTAAACAAAGTTAGGTAAAACTCACATTAATTAATTGCACACCAATACTCTTGATTTCCAAATGTAACCATTTTCTGTACTTTTGTGTTTATCCACCTTTTGTGTAGTTTTAGTGTACATCTGATATTGCATCTCTAATTGCACACAAATTAAATATATATTCACACCATACATATAGTCTTGTCTTCGTTCAATGGGTTTACATAAATGTGATACTGGACTTGCTGGCCCATTAAATTTATTTCTTCATTCAGTTATCCATGAAGAGATATTTTCATTCCCTGAAATTCTAGAAATCATTATCTTTTCTGAAACACTACCTGTTCATACATTTAAAGAGTTCAATGTACTCCATCACACATATCATGGAATGTGGATCACTGATAATGTTGATACATGTACTTGTGCATAATTCCACATGTAGATTTACCCATTTTAGAAGTGCATTTCCCCTTTGTAATTAGTAAGTACTCACTGCAGTAATACTTTGAGGTGTCCTAAAGAATTTTACTTTTGATCATATTGTTTTAGAATCTACTTACGATTTTTTCGTGTGACTCAATCATCAGATGATGATGGTAGGACAGATGTACTGAAGTTCCATCATGTATAAGGATTTTGGTTGACAATCCGCTGTAAAAAATGAGATTTCCCTTTTACCCCTTCACATTTTTATTATCCCATAAGTTTCAAAGATTCCTTTCCACTTGCAATGAAATATTGCAATATTGCAGGGAAAGCAATATTTCTGTAATTTTGTTGTTGTTGTTCAAGTTATTCCAAATGTGTTCATTGGAAAGTTTCCTAGCTGGGCTATAACTGACCAGTTTTTAAATTTCTTTTGTATTATTGAATTAAAATACACACAATGTAAATTCACCATTTTAGACAGTACAATTAAGTATACTTAGTACATTCACAATATTGCATAACTATCCTATTTGTCATCCCACAAAGTAACTTAGTACCCATTAGACAGTCACTTCTAATTTCCTCCCTCCCCACAACCTGGAAATGATTGCGGTTTTTTACTTTTTGAATCAACAATATATTCAAAATTAACCCCATACTCTCTCTTACCTAGGGTGGAGTAAGCCATTTCTCCAAAAAGTCCTGGTTCCATTTATACGGATTTGTGTTTAGAAATCAAAATATTATGCTGGAATTTTTTTTTTTCTTTTAAACTTTTATTTTAGGTTCGGGGTACATGCACAGGTTTGTTATAGAGTTAAAATCATGTCATCGGGGTTGTTGTACAGATTATTTAATAACCCAGGTACTAAGTCTAGTATCCAATAGTCATTTTTTCTAATCCTCTTCATCCTCCCACCCGCCACCCTCAAGCACTGTGTCTGTTATTTCTTTGAGTCCATGTGTTCTCATTATTTAGCTTCAACTTCTAAGTGAGAACACGTGATATTTGGTTATTTGTTTCTGTGTTAGTTTGGTTAGTATAATGGCCTCCAGCTCCATCCATGTCTTTTCAAAGGACATAATCCCATTCTTTTTACGGCTGCATAGTATTCCATGGTATATATATACCACAACATATTAGAATCCCTGGGGCACAGATAAGGCAGTGCTGGGACAAATTATAACACTAAACACTTATATCACTAAGTTAGAAAGATAAATTAGCAACCTAACATCACAACTAAAAGAATTAAAGAAGCAAGAGCAAACCAACCTCAAAGACAGTAGAAGACAAGAAAAAAAAAAACACAAAAAACCACAGGTGAACTGAAGGATATTGACACACGAAAAACTATTCAAAAGATCAATGAATCCAAGAGTTGCTTTTTTGAAAAAAATTAAAAAGGTACATCGACCTCTAACTAGATTAATAAAGAAAAAAAGAGAGAAAACCCAAATAAACACAATTAGAAGTGACAAAAGGGATGTTGCCATGGACCAAACAGAAATATAAATGACCATTTGCTTCTACTGTCAACACCTCTATGCACACAACTAGAAAATCTAGAAGAAACAGATAAATTCCCAGACATGTAACCTTCCCAAGACTGAACCAAAAAGAAATTAATTCTCCAAGCAGACTAATAATTTCTCTTTATGGAAATAAAGATAGTATCTCCCTTTTGGGCAAATGGTGAAATTGGTTTGCTAGTAGAGTCCTTTAAAAGATTAAATTTCAATAATGAGCTGCAAAATTGCATCAGTAATAAATAGCCTACCAACCAAAAAAAGCCCAGGACCAGACATTCACAGCTGAATTCTACCAGATGTACAAAGAAGAGCTGGAAACTTCCTATTCAGAAAAGAACTTCCTATTCAGAAAAAACTGAGAAGAAAGGACTCCTCCTTAACTCATTTTATGAGACCAGCATCATCTTGATACAAAAACTTGACAGTTACACAACAAAGAGAGAAAAATTCAAGCCAATATCCTTGGTGAACATTGGTTTAAAATCCTCAACAAAATACTTGCAAGCCAAATCCAGCAGCACATCAAGAAGCTAATGCAGGCCGGGCATGGTGGCTCATGCCTATAATCCCAAGATTTTAGGAGACTGAGGAGGGAGGATCACTTAAGGTCAGGAGTTTGAGACCAGCCTGGCCAACATGATTAAACCCAGTCTCTACTAAAAATAAAAAAATTAGCTGGGTGTGGTGGGACACACCTGTAATGCCAGCTTCTATGGAGGCTGAGGCATGAGACTCATTTGCACCCACAGGCAGAGACTGCCGTGAACCAAGATCACACCACTGCACTCCAGCCTGGGTGATAGAGTGAGACACTGGCTAAAACAAAGAGGAAAAAGCTAATCCACCAGAATAAAGCAGGCTTAATCCCTGGGATACTAGGTTGGTTCAGCAGATGCAAATCAATAAATGTGATTCATCACATGAGCAGAACTAAAGACAAAAACCACATGATTATCTCAATAGATGCAGAAAAGGCTTTTGATAAAATTCAACACCCTTCATGTTACAACCTCTTAGTAAACTAGGTACTGAAAGAAGATATCTCAAAATAATAAGAGCCATCTATGACAAACCCATAGCCAACATCATACATGCTGAGTGGGCAAAAGCTGGAAGCATCCCCCTTAAAAACCAGCACAAGATAAGGATGCCCTGTCTCACCACTCCTATTCAACATAGTATTAGAGGTTCTGGCCACAGCAATCGGGTAAAAGAAAGAAATAAAGCATGTCTAAATTGAAAGAGAGAAAGTCAAACTATTCTTGTTTGCAGACAACATAGTTGTGTACCTAGAAAACCTCATAGTCTCCGCCCAAAAGCTCCTGGAGCTGATAAAACAACTTGAGTACATTTTCATGGTACAAAACCAATGTATAAACATTACTAGCATTCCTATACTCCAAATATAGCCAAACTGAGCACCAAATCAGAATGGTAATCCCATTCACAATTGCCACAAATAGAATAAAATACCTAGAAATACAGCTAACCAAGGAAGTGAAACATCTCTACAATGAGAATTACAAAACATTGCTCAAAGGAATTAGAGATGACTCAAACAAATACAAAAGCATTCCACTCTCATGGATAGGAAAAATCAATATTGTAAAAATGGCCAAACTGCCTGAAGCAATTTACAGATTCAATGCTATTTCTATCAAACTACCAATGATATTCTTCACAGAACTAGACAAAACTATTTTAAAGGTCATAAGAAACAAAACTAAAAAGCCCTAATAGCCAAGGTAATTCTAAGCAAAATGATCAAGGCAGGAGGCCTCACATTACCTGAATTCAAACTACACTACAAGGCTACAATTCCCACTGAAACAACCTTCCAAAGTAACACATCTTGGTATCACAGAAACAGGACAATTGGAAGCTCGGCCCTTGCTACTTTTCCTGGACTCTGCTCTATAAACTTCTCCCCTTGGCTGTTTTTAATCTGTATCCTTTCCAGGCAATAAACTGTAATACAGGCTGGGCGCACTGGGCGCGGTGCCTCACGCCTGTAAGCCCAGCACTTTGGGAAGTCCAGGTGGGTGGATCACGAGGTCAAGATATCGAGACCATCCTGGCCAACATGGTGAAACCCCATCTCTACTAAAAATACAAAAATCAGCCGGGCGTGGTGGGACGCGCCTGTAGTCCCAGCTACTTGCGAGGATCAGGCAGAAGAATCGCTTGACCCCAGGAGGCGGAGGTTGTAGTGAGCCAAGATTGCACCACTGTAAGACTCCGTCTCCAAAAAAAATAAATAAAATAAAAATAAACAGTAATATAGAGTACAAATGCTCTCAGATAATTTTCTGTGTTCTTCTATAAAATTAGTGAAAGTGAGAGTGGATTTGGGGACCTCCAAACTTGCAGACAGTATCAGAAGTAGCAGGCATCTTGTGAAAATTGTGTTCCAACTTTTCAGGTGGCTTAAAAACCCTCACATGAGGAATGAACGGTGGACTTAAAGTGTGGGTTTGTCTGTTGCAAAATCCAAGGAATTGATTTTTATCATTAAATTTTACATTTCTTCGTTAATTACATAATGAGTTGGTGGTCCTTATTTTTCTTGGGAGAAATATTTGAAATTATTCTAGTAACCATTCAATGCTGCTGAATTGACAAGGTAGTACTGGCTTATGTGACAGTTAAAAAAAAAATAGAATCTAAGTCCAGGTGCGGTGGTTCACACCTGTAATCCTAGCACTTTGGGAGGCTGAGCTGGTGGATCATGAGGTCAGGAGTTTGAGAACAGCCTGGCCAACGTAGTGAAACCCCATCTCTACTAAAAATTAGCCAGGTGTGGTGGCAGGCACCTGTAATCCCAGCTACTCAGGAGGCTGAGGCAGGAGAATCGCCTGAACCCAGAAAGCGGAGGTTGCAGTGAGCTGAGATTGTGCCACTGCACTTCAGCCTGGGTGACAATGTGAGACTTTGTCTCAACAAAAAAAAAAAAAAAAAAAAAAAAGAGGAATCTGCTAGTTAAACCTTGTAATGATGGTCCTTTCATTTGTAAAAGAAGTTATAAACATCTCTTTCTTCTAGGGTTAGTGTTCTGTTTAGACTTCCTATCACTTCTGGGGCCAATATTGGTAAAGTATATCTTCGTAGAATATTTCCATATCATCAGCCAATTAATTTTCATGTAATTGTACAAATGAGTCCAAAGATTCCTAATGTGAATTATTAACACCATAGTCTTACTTGTACCACTAGACATCCTTCTCAGGAACTTTGATTCTGTTGATCTTAGAATACTTTAGAATGGTACAGCTTAGGGGTCTGCAGATTAAGAATTATTTTGAACACCAAGAGCATTAGCAACAAACACCAAAAGCATTGGCAACAAAAGCCAAAATAGACAAATGGGATCTGATTAAACTCCAGAGTTTCTGCACAGCAACGGTAAAAATCATTAGAGTGAACCAGCAACCAACAGAATGGGCAAAAATTTTTGCAATCTACCCATCTGACAAAGGGCTAATATCCAAAATCTGCAAAGAACTATAACAGATTTACAAGAAAAAAACAAACATACCCATTCAAAAGTGGGCAAAGGATATGAACAGACTCTTTGCAAAAGAAGATATATATCAGGCCAACAAACATATGAAAAAATGCTTATCATTACTGGTCATTAGAGAAATGCAAATCAAAACCACATTGAGATACCATCTCACGCCAGTTAGAATGGCGATCATTAAAATATCTGGAGACAACAGATGCTGGAGAGGATGCGGAGAAATAGGAACACTTTTACACTGTTGGTGGGAGTGTAAATTAGTTCAACCATTGTGTAAGACAGTGTTGCGATTCCTCAAGGACCTAGAAACAGAAATTCGGTTTGACCCAGCAATCCCATTACTGGGTATATATCCAAAGGAGTATATATCGTTGTATTATAAAGACACTTGTGCATGTATGTTCACTGCGGCACTGTTTACAACAGCAAAGACCCGAAACCAACCCAAATGCCCATCGATGATAGAATGGACAGGTAAAATGTGGCACATATACACCACGGAATACTACGCAGCCATAAAAAAGGATGAGTTCCTGTCCTTTGTAGGGACACGGATGAACCTGAAAACCATCATTCTCAGCAAACTGATGCAAGAACAGAAAATCAAACACCGCATGTTCTCACTCATAGGCGAGGGTTGAACAATGAGAACACATGGACACAGGGAGGGGAACATCACACACACACACACACTGGGGTCTGTTGTGGGGAACAAGGAGAGGGACAGTGTGGGGTAGGGAGTTGGGGAGGGATAACACTGGGAGAAATGCCAGATATAGGTGATGGGATGGAGGTACACATTGCCATTTATGTACCTATGCAACAATCCTGCATGTTCTTCACATATACCCTGGAACCTAAAGTGCAATAAAATATCAAAAAAAAAAGAAAGAAAAGAAAGAAAGAAAGAAACTCAAAGGAAAAAAAAAAAGAATTATTTTGATTTTGGGGGAGAAGAACTAGGGAGGCCCAGAATTCACTGGGACACACAGGCGTCTCTGAAAGTCCCTCATGGATCAGAGGTCAATATTTTCTGCTCCTTCCATATAAAACTCTGTGTGTTTGCCTTTAGGGATCATGAAAAAGTAAGAGCCTCTCCCAAACACTTCAGTGGTCTCACTGAAGATACTCGCAAGAAACTTTTAATTGACACTGGTAATTAGCAACTGGGAAAAGGGATTTCAGAGATGTTCTCAGCTCCCCAAGCCTGCGCTGTCATGGCCACTCTAGGTGAAATGATAATTGCAGTTCTGAGGGGAGGTGAGGTCACAGAATCACTAACCTTTATCTGACGCTCTGGCTGCCCCTCTCCCTCATGTACCGGCTGTCATGACTGAGCTCATCACCCTGGAGTCCAGTGAGTATTTTCCATCTTAGTCTGAGAAGCAAAGCCTGTAAGGAAAAGAAGTATTTTTGTGTCTGGAAAGGGATTCTTCTAGGGTAGAAACACATTCAGCGGCACAGCTAATCAAGGAGAGAAATAATTCTTCATCTATATACTGAGTTAGTTTAAAAAAAAAAAAAAAGGTACTATATCTTTGCCAATCCCTGTTGGCTACTTTTCAATAAAACCCTCACTGAGGATGATTCTTGGTCAATAATTCAAGTGAACATAAAATCTGACATCTGATTTTTAACATGCTGAAGGATTGTAGTAATAAAATAGTTCCACTGTTCATATTCTCACAACAAATCAAACACTAAATTTCCAGTATTGTTATTGTAGGTATGTTTATAAACCTATATGCTTATAATAAAGATTAAAATGGAACTAGAAGAATTACTGAATCTTGTGCAGAAATCATAATCTGAATTTGTTCTGGTATTAAAATGTTTTTTTGTTTTTTGTTTTTTGTTTTTTTTTGAAACAGAGCCTTGCTCTGTCACCAGGCTGGAGTGCAGTGGCTCAATCTTGGCTCACTGCAACCTCCATCTCCTGGGTTCAAGCGATTCTTCCACGTCAGCCTCCCGAGTAGCTGGGACCAGAGGCACGTGCCACCATGCCCAGCTAATTTTGGTATTTTTAGTAGAGACAGGATTTCACCATGTTGGCCAGGATGATCTCGATCTCTTGACCTCGTGATCCACCCACCTCAGCCTCCCAAAGAGCTGGGATTACAGGCGTGAGTCACCATGCCCGGCCAAAAATGTATATTTTTATGTAAATCTAGGTTTATGACCCAGTTAATAGAGATAGTACTTGTGTCTTTACTGAAAAACCTGTGGTCTGATGATTATGGCGACACTGCATTTCCTCTTGAAGTGGGAACACATTTAACAGAAAGTAATGTTCTTATTGTTATGGCTTTTGGACAACAGTTCTCAGGGTCAAATATATCTTTGTTATTTCCTGAGGTTTAGTAATATTCTAACATCAATACTAAGATCATAATGCATGTTTCTGTTGCCTGAATTTATATATTGTACAAGATTTCCTATTCCCCAGATTCTACTTACGTTAATTTCTTGTGTGTTAATATCTTCCAAAATCTCACATCATTACTAATACTTGTATATAACCTAGGTATTAGTGATACATAAGCATTTAGCCTGAAATTAGTAATAACATTCAAATCTGGGAAGCCTCTTAATAAAATAAAAAAATTAGCACATTTTTCTCAGAATATTGGATTTCGATTAAAATGTAGCCCACATTGCATGTCCCCATACAGGATCCTCTGGCTCTGACAGTATCAGTCAGTGGGAACCGGCAGAAGGACCTCCAGATATTTGGCAATAGGAAAGATCCACATATCTCAGACTAGAGGTAGAATCCTGGGCATCTTCTTGCTTCTTTACCACTATCTTTTCCTTCCCTGCACTGAATGCAGGTTGAGGCCCATAAATTTGACTCTCATGCACCCAATTATAGTCACTTCATGGTCATTCTCTTTAAAAGTGTTCCCATGACCATGGAAGCTTTTAGGCTGAAGCATTTCCTTAATGTTTTGGATAAATGTTTCTAACCTGACAGAGATGGCAGGTTATGTCCACTATCATCACTTTCCTTGAGTGTCTCTAGCCATCTCAATAAGTCCCAAGAACCCCAGGAGGGTAGAATCTAGAATGAAAACCCTCACATACACTGAGTTTTTCCATTTCATCTGCTGGATTCTGCAGTGCTGGTACATATCATTTGTCTCATATCTATAAGGTTGTCAAAGCAGAAAGAAAACATCACAAAGAAAAAAATTAGGATACTGTTCTGCTGAACTTCATGACACAAATGTAACTCATGCTATGCACTGTTGTTCTTTTCACCTGGTATTTCTTGTTTGGACTCATGACTTGGGCCTGTGACTATATAAACTTTTGCTTGTCTTAACACAAGCAAAAGGTCAAACACATTCACAGAAATAACCTTTTCCCCAGGTACTTTTTCCAACTTTTCAAGTGTGATTATGTGTATTTGGTTAAAGAAACATACACGCCGGGCGCGGTGGCTCACGCCTGTAATCCCAGCACTTTGGGAGGCCGAGGCGGGTGGATCACGAGGTCAAGAGATCGAGACCATCCTGGTCAACATGGTGAAACCCCGTCTC